GAATGCAACTGACTGAACCCTTTCTGCGAGGCCTGATGAGAAAATGGAAAGAAAAGACCTGTAACCCTGAATGACAGCATGCCATTGATAAATGTAGTTTGGGCTACTCAGGAGACCAGCTGATTTTGATCTCTTAAGCAGCTAAAAAATCTGAAAGGTAGGAAGCCCTGAAGTAAAAGCCTTTGCTGGAGTGGCTGGTGTATTCATTGCTCCTCACTCCTCCCAGGGTAAAACTGAACAGACCCACTGGCAAAGAAAACCAGAGCTGAATAGCCATTAAAGGACTAAAAACAGATTTTGTTAGGATTATTGCAACAGGAGAAAAGAGACCTCAGTATAGGAATGGGCTCTTTTTTCACTACCAGAGAGTACGTGCACTCACCAGAGAGAGAGAGAGGAGAGGGAGAAAGCACCCTCCATGATGCATGGTCATGGTGCAATCCCTTCATTCCTCCATTCTTTTGGGATCTGGGGCAAGCATGCAACCCCACCTGATGCATTTCTCAAGCCACCAGAGTAGGATTCAAACTACAGTGTGCCATGTGGCAGCTGACCCCTTTAACCAGTAGGCTATGAGGCCAACTCTTGGGTTCAATTCCTTTTTTTTTTAGAGATTATTTATTTATTTATTTATTTTTGCTTTCTGGAGAGACGGAGAGAGATGAGAGACAGAAAACTAGAAATCACCCCTCCCCCCAGGGGGATGGCCATGCTCTAATCTCTTCTTCTCCACTCTCCTCTTGGGATTTTGAGTGCACACACACCTGCCATGAATTTTAAGCCACCGGGACTCAAACCACAATTGGCCATGTGGGGAGTCCAGCGCCTTAACCACCAGGACATGGTGGTTAATTCTTAACCATGGGTTCAATTCTTAATACAGCCAGAGCAAGTGGTAATTTGTAGCAAAGGAGCAGGGCAGGGACCAGTGGATAGAAAATTAAGTAATGGGCCAGTTGTGCAATTGGACCCACTTGGTTAGGCTCCTGGGTTGTGTCCTGGGGCCCCCCTGTACAAGCGAGGCACACATGATCTGGGCTGGCTGAGGCTGGGAGTGGATCACAGTGTGAAGAAACCTGTTCATTGTGCCCCTCTGTGTGTGTGTGTGTGTGTGTGTGTGTGTGTGTGTGTCTAGTGGAAGAAATAAATAAATAAATTTAAAGAAAAGAGAAAATTCACTAAGAGGAAACATCAGGGGTGAGGGAAATTTGGGCTAAACTCACCTAACAGGATCTTGCCAAAGACAGGTCAGGATGCCATCACCTGGGGGGTGGTGAAGGATGAACTTTGGACCCCTGTCAAGGGTGGTCAGTTATGGAGGACGGAGTGGTTGCTTGGTAAACTGACTTAACATAACTCTTGCTAAAACTGGATTTTATAAGAAAGTGTGCAGTTGGGCCTGGAAGAAGGTTCAGAAGCCTGACTAAAGTTTGCTCAAGTATAGAATCTTTGTCACCACTGTCCACTGATCTCACCACTCCTGGCTCTGGCTTCTGAAGAAGGTATTAGGAGTAAGTGGAAGTTAGAAGTGGACAGCAATAGTAAGTGGTGTGTTTAGGTTTTTAATCAAAATAAACCTGGAGGGACTTCCTCTAAAATGGAAACAGTTTCTGTAGACGTAGATACAGGTCCCAAACTTTTCCCCTTTGCTCGCCCTTTGTCCTAACAGCAGTTTCCTCCACCATCACTTCATGTGCTATTTATGCTTCACCTCCTCCAAGAAGCATTTCAGGCAGCCTACACAAAAAGGCACGCGTGTACCTCAAAGTCGTAAAATGACGGATAAAAGAGCAAGTCAGCTGCAGGCAAAGTTCCCAGTTGCTGCTATTTTTTAACTGTCTGGCAGATGGCCAGAGATGCTTTAATCCTGATACTTTGCTGGTGCTAAACAAAATGATGAGCTCCTCACTATGGTCCAACAGACAGACCAAACCAAAATGGAGTCACTTGGGCAAAATGCCACATAATCAAATGGTATTTTAAAATGCATATTGATTCCTCCAAAAAACAGTTTTTCCAAAAAACAGGAGGTTCCAGTCTACTCCAGTGGTCAGCCTAGAGCCTGGTGGCCCATGGAAGTGCACTCAGCTTCAGCCCTTATAAAAATAAAAACATCTGGAGTAACGTGATGTTAACCAAATTGGTTATTTTTCTATTGTTCTATGTCCTTGTTCACTCTTTTTTTTTTCAGAATAGAGATTGCCGTGATACATGAGTCATGAATAAAACCTGATTAGGTCTATAACTAAATTTGTTGTAATTTTGCTTTTTGACATCACCCAACACAAAATGCTTATTATTGAGTTATAAAGCTCTCTGCCTTCTAACTTCCACAGTCCTTGTCACCCTTCTGCAGGGCCATTTCCCTACTCCCTCTCAAATCGAGTCTTGTCACTCCCTCCCCTCCCTCACCCTTCTAAATGATCCAGCTACCTGAGAGCCCTTTTCCTTCTCTTTACCAACTCCTGTTCATTCTTTTTCAGATTTGCATTTTCTAAAGCTGCCTACCACTTAGTGGGCTCTCTGGAAAATGACTAGATGCAAACTACTGAGATGCAACGTGTTGGGATGCAAAATGTTTCATAGAATCTGTCCCTGAGAAAGCAGGTA